ATTGAAGGAAACATATGTATGTATGTATGTATGCAGGTATGTACATGGGTGTATATTTATATGTGTGTATATGTATGTATGTATGCATGTAGTGTACGTATGTATTAATGGATTTAATACATTTTTTGAAGTAATAAGGCCCAAATCTTACATGTTTTCGAGACAGAGATTACCTAAGCTACTTTGAACCCTAATTTGTGTTGGTGTTATTTTGCAATTTCTTAAGAAAGATAAGAGTACAACTAACAAATCATCCAAAGACGATCATCAAAACACATGTATTGGTGGAATTACATCGGAGCGAAGCGATTGCTCATATGGAATAGCAATGGGTAATCAGGGCGACACGATAATTGTAGAGCAAAAGCAACTACATTGTGCGCATTGATACTTTTATTCATTGAAGGAATGAAAAAGCACTTGAAGACAGTGTCTAGGCAAAACTAAGCAGTTTGAGTTCTCATCAGATAATAGTGGCCGGCTCTCTGACTAAGCCATTCCCCACATCATTTAGATAGTCTACTTGTCGTGGCCTCAGCTTGTTTTCATCTGTTTGTGCCTTTCGCTAGCGTCATCCATAATGTTGCTATTAAACTGCGGTACGAAATTCGCGAGGTCCAGACTAATTAATCGTTACCTGCTCGTCAGCCCATCTGATTGGTGGCCTTCCGAACGTTTTGATTCGCGAGGAATCCATTCCAGTGTCCTTGGTGTCCACATGTCGTCGGTCCTTCTCATTATATGAACAGCTCATCGATGTTTTGCCTTTGAGTGCGCCGGTTGTAATTCAGAAGATTTCAGTCGTTCCAGCGCTTTTTGGGTTATTCAGAGAACCTTTGACGTAGCTTAGTGTCAGACACGTCCCTGCCGCGTATCAGAGTGCAGGGAGTACGGATGGACAGATGAGCCCCAAGCTCTGGGTCCGTGACTGGTATGTGGCTTCTTTTAGAGGTTCAAAAGCGGCCCAAACTGCTTTCGCCTGCTGTTTAATTCTCATCGAGCACCCGAAGAAATATGTATGAAGACGTTTCCGCGATGTATCCATTTCCTGATCATCGCAAAAAGTATTCTTCATGAAAGAATAATCCTCAGGGTAATTCGTAGTCCTATCCGCTTCCCTAATTCGTTAAATTCTTTCAACATCGTCTCCGCTTCACTGATATTCCTCGAAAAGAGAAGAATGTCGTACGCAAAACGAAGGTTGAGAGATATCTCCTATCAACTCGTATACCTTCCTCGTTCTTTCTTGTTCCAATCTAGTGATTTCACCACTTGCAGAAAAGCGGCAATAAACAGCTTTGGCGGCACGATATCGCTTTCGAACTCCACTTAAAATTGGTATACTAAGGCCGTTGTGGAGCAGTTCTTGTAGCAGTCGGCCAACGTGGTCACGTCAATGTTATAATGGCTCCACTCCTTGGTCGACGAGAGCTGACACTACGGTATTAGTCTCGACTCGTCATCTTCCACATAGTCGATGAAGGTCAGGACGACAGGTAAGCGGTACGTCGGCAAACCTCGATTATCTCGAAAGGTCTGAATATATCCACGCAGCTCTACAAGTTGGGCTTCACTTTCATGATATGGTGAGAATAATTTTCGTAAAAAGCTTGTAAAGCACGCTCAGCAGGCATATTGGACGGTAGTTCTGAAGATCCACCCTATCGCCCTTCTTATGAAGTAGGATTGTAGGGGAGGCTCTCCACTAATCGGAAACCCTGTTCAGCACACCGAAATGGTCAGAGAAGGTAGAAACACAGTCGAAACTTGCCCGGACACTGCTTTTGATTATTTAAATTTATCATTTAAAGCGGGAGGTGGAAAAAAATCTCCAAATACCTTTACTTCCTAATAAATTCATTTCCTCTCGAGGATTATAGGATACATTAACGGCGGCGCAGCAGGAGTGACCAAAGCCTCGCCGCTTTTCCCTGGAGCGATGATTTGGGTATCCTAGGGAGATCTAACGCCTATAAACGCTAAACTCTGACTTAGCCCAATGCTCCGCCTACTGCCTGTCATCACATTGGGCTGTGCAAGTAATGGATAAATCAGTACCAACAAAGACGAAGAGGAAGTTAGCGTCATTCTTTATGATGTCGTCTTCGATTTAGAATGAGGAGTGATGAAAGGAAGGATAGACTTCACATTCAATCCAACTCTTCCATACTTAAACTACATCTCTGTTTGAAATCAGTAGCTTCAATGTGTCACATTGGTGTTTTTACGACTTACAGTTTGCAGTTATTGGGAAAAACTTAGCGAGACATGATCCTATATCGAATGCGTCCCCTAAATTTGATTTCTATGCCCGTTCATTAGCTATACGCAGCCCAGCAAGGAAGGCATAACGGAACAATGGTCAGAGCTAGGGCCTGCCGCTTGAGAGGCTTAGTTACCTTTAAACCTTAATCAATCGTTTCAGGGAAAAGCGGTGAGACTTTGGGAACTCTTGCGTGCCCTCACATAAACAATTCTCACTTAATTATGTTTTATCTTCGAAATTTGCCCAATAACTTTAGCTCACGTCCGTTCATACGATAAAAATCCAAGCAAGAGGACAGGATACGACATAGCAAAGTGGACGAGAGGTTGGTAACAGCGATAAAGGCTCACAAAAATCCAAAGCCCGGGATGATCATATCCTTGTATGCCAGCTGGTAGTATAAAAACGACATAGGTCAAAGTGAAAGAGTTCCACAATCTAAACTAATCTATAATTCTGAGATCGATATTATTCAAGATGAATATTGTGTAGTGTGCATCCAAATAACAGTACATACGTTCTGCAAAACTACGGATTTTACATTTGTTTGACATTTTGACATTGACACACCAGTGGGTAGTAAAATACAAAGACCAATTCACGAAACAGTTATATTAATGTAAGCGAAATTTGGAAACTATGCCGATTGCAGCCTTATGCATTCTTAATTACTAATCACTGATCGGAAAATTTGGTACAGGAGAAAAAATAACATTGCCCAGTCCACTTTTCTATTCCCAGCCCTGTACTTCACAAATGCCCATAAATATCTAATCTCCCATCCATAAATGTTTTTTTTCAAGTTTGAGATCTAGTCACTATAAGCCGATGAAACCTTGACAAGCGAAAAAACGATGCAATAAACATGAGTGAAGAAGAAAAATACATATTTGCCTTATTTCTTGTAAGAGACAGGATAAACTGCGACAAAATCTGCAACGTTTACCTTGTGTTTTCTAGGGACTTCATGCTGCGTCTTATTTTCATAGTAATCGCAAACATCGGATGGTTTCATAAAGGCCTTTTCACCAGTGCCGAAGAATATGACGGGAATACGAGACATTGGAGTATCTCTGTCTTTTTCCAGAACCTCAAATTAAAAGAAAATTTGAACTAAACATTCTCCGAGAATCCGATTAAAGTATTCCCTAAAATCGATTACTCTTATCAAGAGAAATACGATAAAAATCCTCTTCTTTTCTACCTTTGCAGGCCATGGTGGAAATCCCTTCATTTTAGCCCAGATCAAATCTCCTGGCTTGGGTAACGATGAGTCGCTTGATGATTGTGTATCCATCTCTGGAAAATGTTAAACAATATGCAAAATAAGGGCAACAGGTTGCCTACTGTTTAAGAAAGTCAATCAATACTAACTGAGTAGATTTTTGGAACGCTGCCAGTAATTCGGCGCAGCTTCCTCCATGATAAAATGCAAGTATCATTGTTTTTTGGTGTCTCGGAAGAATTAAATGTTCATTGGTGTTCCTATGCCTTTTTCTTCTGCATGTGTCTAGCCTATTTTGTCGAAATTGTGAAAGTTTTCTGGTAATCCTTTTCAGAACGTTCTTGGGAACAACTCAGTTCGACTTGCTACTAACCAGTTTGCTATGCAATTTGAAGATGACGCCGCGAATTCTTGTGATGCATTCCTCATGGCTGATAACTTTTCTCCTTCAGAATGTGGGCCAGTGTTATTTTCGAGCAGCTTTCACAATTGAGTTGTGCACTTGTTTTAGATATACGAGAACGGTTGAAAGGCGTTCGAAGCGGAGACGAAACCAAGAAGTTGCAAAAGTTGCGGAGTGAAATGAACGCCATAAATCATGCTTCACAGGAAATGCTCAAACACAATGTGTTTCAAAATTACCAACAATTTATTGACGCTTCAAAGGAGATCTCACGTAAGATTATTTAAATATCAGTAATCCCCGGAATGTGCTCATCCGTTACAGACCTTGAGCAAGAAATCTATCAACTTTCCTCGCTATTACTAGATCAAAAGCAATTGATTGAAAACATGATGCAAATGACGGGTAATCGTGTTTCCTTCCTTTTTCATCGTCGGAAAGATTCAAATCATAAGTTCAGGAGATGACAAGTCCTCAGTGCAGACTGCATCTAGTCATTCAGCATCTGTGGCTTCCATAACTCCTATTCAAGTACTCATGCAAAAAATGGACGGTATCGCTGTGAGTTTATAAAGAAAAGTGCTCTTCTTTTTTGACATATAATCTATGTAATTTCGACTAATCCTTCTAGGATTGATATAATTCTTTCTGGCGGTGTAGCAGGGGTTCCCAAAGAACGCCGCTTTTCCGAGGCAAGCATTTAGGCAGGCAGACCTTTAACGGTGATTCCCCGCCTTTCCTACTAAAATGTGTTGGACCAATATTTGAAATATTAGAAGTAAAGTTGTCACAGCATCATTTATGTACTTTAAAGCTTAATTTTCAATGTAGTCCAATATTGAATTTTAGTATAAAGTAGGTGGTGTAAAGAGTCTATTAATACTATGAAACAGCAGATTTCCAATCAAACCGATGCTTCAAGTCACGATTTTTTACTTCGTCTTTGCTTCGAGAACTACACCACATTTTTTTACTCTCTTGTCTGTGCGTTTGCATTCCTTTCAATGATAGAGGTGGTGATGTAGCGCGATGCAGGATTATTTAAGGGCTTAGATGCCTTCCTGTTGCTTGCTTTAGGGAAGGCAGCGATGTGCTAGGAACTCTTGCACGCCCTTCAATTCTTTCGCAATCACCGATTCACTAGGGGTTTGTTTTGAAAACAGAGACTCTTTTCTCCTCAAAACCTCAGCTATAGTGCGCATAGTCTCAGTTTACAAGCGCAGTTTATTGAAAATTCTCCATTGAATATGGACGCCAGTTATGGTTCAATACTTCCTATTTATAAAATCAGTACTTCAAATTGAACAATAATTCAAAGAGAAATTATGTTATTGTATGAAATCTCCAACCAATCAAGACTCTAACAAACATCACCAACAAAGATTATAGCATCGTGCCATTCCATCTGCTTAAATAATTTTCGCCGGTGCAAGTAGACAATCATGAAGTCCCATGGTTTCAGTATGGAAGACTTATAGTGCCATTGTCTTTACGCTAATTACTTTTTCTCCATAACATATGATAGACACTGTCAAAAATGGTCAATGGTCATTGAGAAAATAGCATCAACAAGTTTGTGATTTCCTCTTACTTACTGCGAAATTCATTTTGATATATGTACTTGACTGAAATTATGGTTACACGAGGGTTTGGATTAATAATTCTACTATGTTCATTCCTCTTCCGGTTGTAATGCACAAGGAAATAGACACGGCTTTACTCCTTAGGATAGAAGACACATTGCACTAATCTTACTGTACTCCAAGTTATAGCGTACCCCTTTGGATAGGGATTTTTGAAGAAGAAATGAATTTCGAAAAATCGGATAAGGAGCTTCTCAGAACAATTTTTTGAACAGAGTATCCTCAACAACATGCGGAGCTGTGATAAAATATTACTCTACGGCGAGATGATGCTTCTCGATCCCGAAACGAAAGAGGATATAAATCGTGCGATGTTGGTGCTACTCTCCGATAGGCTCTTGATTGGTAATATCACTCCATCCGGCAAATACAAGTATCTACTACTGAACCAATATTTCAAAGAGCATGTGGTGTCATTTTTCATCTTTAGCCTCGAATCGACGTTCTCATTAAACAATTTGGCAGTCGTTAACGTAAAGGACCGAGAAAGTGGGGCAGCTGTAGCAGACCAGCTACTGAAGTTATTGGTGTTCCCAGAGCAAAGGTAA